GAGAGGAGGGGAAGGAAAGAGGGATGACCAGTTTCGGGGATGTAACCCCTCCCTCTGCTATTTCATGCAGATGGGAATTTTAATGGTAATTAGGGAAACGGAGTTGCCATGGCAAACAGATCTGTTCAGAGATAAATAAAACCCTGCAGTACAGCAGAAAGTGAATGACCACGAAGACACCCAGCTATTCGTGCCCTGGGCCCCGTGTGCCACCAGGACAGCGGGGCGAGAGCTGACCGTTGGTTCCCGAGCATGTGCCTGTCTCCCGCCCGGCTCTGCCCGGGCCCCGCACCCACGGGCCCGTGCTACGCAGCACTTCACGCTCTCCCCACCGCGCTCCCTCTTACTGCAAAGCTCTAAGCCGTTGACTTCTGTCCTGTCCTCTGTGTGGAATGGGTGGGGCCCAAACCACTATTCACATTTCAGAGACGAAAATAAGGCACAGGCAAGGTGGATGTCTTGTTCTCAGTTACAAAGCCAACGTCTACGGGAACCCAAGTGCACGTCCAGCTCCTGAGCCCAAAGCCAGGGCTGGTGCCGGCTCTGACCCCGCTCGCCTTGAACTGCAGTGTTCCCCGAGGCAGGTAAACTGGCCCAGGCGCATGCCCTCGACCAACCCCCCAAGGTCACAGATGTCAGATACTGAAGGGTTGAGCCCTGCTACCCACCCTCCCCGGGCTCTACTCCTGGACTTCCCGGCACCTCGACGGCCCAGCGCCTCGGTGCCAGGAGCCCGCAGGACAAAGGTGCCTTCTCTGCAATCAGACGCTCGCTGGCGTCCCGCACCCTCGGCAGCCGAGCCCGGACGGAAGAGGCTGCCTGGCTGCCTCCACTGTTTGTTTTCCCACTGCTGGGCTGGCAAGGATGCAAGTGGTGGATTTACAATTAGAAGCAGCATGGTTCTTCAAATATTAATATTAATAACTACAATGCGGGACACATGAAAAGGGCTTTTCATCTTCAAAGCACTTTGAAGACATTAGCTCATTAGCTCACCCTTCCCTCCACTCGGGAACAACAGGTAAGTAGGAATCTCAGGAGCACCAGTGGCCACCCGGCAGCCCTCCACGGGTAGCCCGTCCCTGCAGAAGCAAAGGGTTTGCTGTTGAGATAAAAAAGAGGCGACGCAATCCAGAACCACAGCTGATGAAAGAGTTTAAGTGCCAGTCATTTACAAATCAAATGGGGCTGCCAAGTTATCGTCGAATCTGCATTCACTGTTGCTTAACAAATATCTGTCTTTTCAGTTGCACAGTGAGGATATGAGGTAGGAAGAAAAGTGGCCTGGAGATTAAAAAGCAAAACAAACTTAGCCCAGAGATCACAAGGATAACTTGCAATCAAATGCTTAGATCTCAGCAACCCAGCATCTTTTCAACAGTTTGCCCGCATAAAATGCTATTTAAAAGGGGGCAGCAGAGACGTTCCCACAGGAGATGAGCCACACAGTGGGGCTGCGGATAAAATCCCCGCATGGCAGGGGTGGCCGTCCAGCACCTCCTGCTTTTCCATGGCAGTGCCCCTGAGTCCAGCTCCGCCGTGGAGGGGAGAAACGCCCCCTGACTCAGAGACCCCCCCCATCTCAACAGCAGCCCCAAAGACAGGCAGAACCTTGGAAAACTGAGTCACGGTCAGGGAAACACCCAAAAGCCTAGCTGGGCTTTGGGTTTACTGCATTCAAACCTGCAGCGATTTCCTCTCTAGGAGAGCAACTCATTAAGCTGCTAGGAAAAAACAAAAAGGTGTAAAAACAATAGGCTTTCCCGGACTCAAAGAGGGAAAAAAGAAGTGAGACACCCCGACGTGGAGCCAACAGCTTTAGGTCTTGGGAGTGTCCCGATACGCGGAGAAAATTCCGCGCTTCCGACCTGTGATCCGTGCGTGCCCCCAACGTGCGTGATTTTGCTCCTATAAACCGGGGAAAAGAGTGAAACCGTCTTGATTTTAGGCTATTTGAACCAGGTTAGGAAGTGTTTCCGAAAATCATTATTAAACGATTGAATGGAAAGCCCAAGAAAATGTGAAAAGAGAAAGCCCACTTGTATCCTAAAAGTCCCCGTCAATTTACCATTTAATTACACGGAATTTAAAAAAAAATAAATGAATAAAGGAATAGGAAAATGGCCTGCAAAGTTGCAGGCAGAAACTCACGCCCCACTTACTACTTTGCGGGAGAGGCCGGGTGAGGGATCGTCCCGAGTGAGCTCCCCGCGAGGTCCGCGGTCTCTTCCCAACTACCTGCGGGAATCCCGGCTCGTGGCGAAAGGATGCAAAGACCATAATGTTCCTAATAGAGCTGCCTCCTTAAATTGGGGGGTGTGGTCAAGCCCTGGAGCTGGGGAAAAGGCAGGATTTTGCCGGCCGCTGACATCACCGGGGCAACAACTAGGAAGGCTTTTCAGTCTCGGTGGAAACGCATAGTGCTTTTTTTTTCCCCTTTCTTCTCTATCAGGAGTCCTGGGGAGGGAGGTGAGCGAAGGGCAACCCCTCGGGGGATGGCACCCAGCCTCAGGGGCCGCTGATGCACTTGACTTTGCTCTCGGTTGAACTGTGACTGTTTCTGCTTCACAGCTCCTGGCTCTCAGTGGGGGACCAGGCTGTCAGAAAGAGGGGATCCACCGCCCGGCCGCCTGCCCCGGCTCCTCCTGTGTCTCTATTAACTTGATGTGAACTGATATGTTTCTTAAGGAAAATAAAATAATGCCGTGGGAGAAAGCTGACCAAATAGCAAGCTGTGATTTCTAAAAAGTAAAACTCAAACTATGCTCTTTGTATCAGCCTGGTTTTAGGTCATTTCTCAGAGAGATTAGTTTGGTGGCCCTGAGTCATCATAGTCCATGGTGAGGAGTGAAAGTGCCGAAATAGTCACGTATTCCTCATGTAGCGACAGTGCAAACCACGTGGAGATGTCGCATCTGCTCTGTGTGGAAACAGCATCTTTTATTCACGTATTCGGAGCCGTGGTAAGAACGCTACAGTGTAGTATCTTTGCTATATATAGGGTCATTTCATTACAGAAATGTTTTCAAGTCACTATTTGGCTGCTTAACTTCAGACTTTTATCCTGAAAGATTCCATTTTCTTTGAGTAAGAGATGGGAGCTAAAATTGGCCGGGGTTGGCTCCTTTCCCTTTCTAATGAAGATGCAAAATGCTCAACGTTGAAAGCCTATGGAAACCTAATAAATGTCATTCAGAGCGACACCATCACCGCCCTTCGTTGTAAACAGCCAGCGGGGCAGTTAAGACGGTATTGTAATCAAAACAAGATTTCACTGCTTATCTTTTGCCTTTGCAAATTAACATGCTTAAAAGAAAGGAAGAGAGAGTGCTGTTGGTTCGGTTTAGTGTAATGTCCATGCCAAGCACTGTGCTAGGCACTAGGACTATAACTAGGTCACACTGTAGTGGGCAGATAGACACATAAATGGACCATCTCAGTCAAGTGCAACATGAGCTATGAGAGAAGTCTCTAAAGAGAGCTACGGAAGGAAGCTTCGTGTCTCCTTATAGCTCACTCAGTTCAGTTTATAGAGGCCAGGTCAATCAAACCAATCACAACTAATTATAACTGTATTATTCACTATGTTTGCAAGAGAGTTGAAAAAAATAGAGTGAGGCCTTGGGTTCTTGCCCTATAGGGGTGGAGAGAGTGATTTTTGAGGAGCTCGGGGATCTGGATTTGTCTACATAGAGTTTTTATAGATGGCGACCCTTTAGGACGGTAGCTCTGTTCTTTACCACAGCCTCTCATGGTGCGAAATAAGCCACCCCTGGCATAAAATGCCTAGAAAATGCCCAAGGAAGCAGTACATTTTCTTTTAAAAAGCACCTTCAAAAATGTAGCATTAGGTGGGTGTCCACATGCAAAAGAATGAAGTTGGACCCTTACCTTACAAAAATCAACTCAAAATGGGTCAAAAACCTAAATGTAAGAACTGAAACCATAAAATTCATAAAAGAAAACATAGAAGGAAACTTCACGTCATTTGGCAATGATTTCTTGGATATGACATCAAAAACACAGACAACAAAAGGATAAATAGATAAGTTGGACTTTACCAAAATTTAAAACTCGTACATCAAAGCACACTATTTAAAAAGTAAAAAGGCAACCCAGGGAATGGGAGAAAATATTTTCACATCATATATCAGATAAGGTATCAGTATTCAGAATATATAAAAAACTCTTACAGCTCAGCAGAAACAAAAAAATAATTTGATTTTTAAAAAAAAGAAAGGGCAAAGAACGTGAGTAGATATTTCTTCAAAGATATTCAAATGACCAACACATACATAAAAAGATGGTCAACATCACAGATCATTAGGAGACTGCAAATCAAAATCACAATGAGATACTACTTCACACCTACTAGGACGTTTGTTATCAAAAAAAACAAAACAGAAAATAAGTGTTGGTGAGGATGGGGAGATATTGGAGCCCTTTTACATTGCTGGTGAAAATGTAAAATGATGCAGCCACTATGGAAAACAGCATGGCAGGTCCTCAAATACTTAAACACAGAATAACATTTGATCCAGGAATTACACTTCTAGGTATGCATCCAAAAGAACTGAAAGCAGGGACTTGGACAGATATTTATACAACGATTTTTTAATTTTTTTCTGTACACCAGTGTTCTTAGTGGCATTAGTTACATTAGTCAAAAGGCAGAAAACAACCCAAATGTCCACCAACAGATGAATTTATAAACCAGATGCTTATGTTCCAAACACTGGAATATTATTCAACTTTATTAATTTTTTTATTAAACTTATTGGGGTGACAATGGTTAATATGAACCTATAGGTTTCAGCTGCGGGTTTCTATGTTACAAGATCTGCCTGTTGCTCTGTTGTCTGTTGCCCGCCACCCAAAGTCATATCTTCTCCGGTCACCACATGCTAAGAATGAAATTCTGATACGTGCTACGACGTGGTGAACCTTGAGGATAGTAAACTAAATGAAACAAACCAAAGGACAAATATTGTATGATTCCACTTACATGAGGTACCTAAAATGGTCAAATTCACAGAGATAGAATTTGGTAGGATAGAGGCCACCGGGGGCTGGGGAGAGGGCCCAATGGGGGAGTCAGCATCTAATGGGGAGATGAAAAAATTGTGGAGACAAATGATGGTGAGAGTTACTTAATGCCGCTGAGCTGCACTGTTAGAAATGGTTAAAGTGATCAATTTTAAGTTAGGTATATTTTACAAAAAACAAGCAAACAAACCAAAAAAGCATTTCCTGAATTAGAAACTGTATAGCGTTAGGGTCACGCAGGCTGTCCACAGAGAGAAGGCCTCCTGATCAGCAGGGATGAGAGGCTGTGAGCCCGGGGGGAGCACAGGGCCTCCCTCCCCGCGCCCAGGCCTCCCCCGGTCTGTCTAGGAGGGATACTAGCTGGTCACGGTTGTTGAGAAGCCTGTGCAATTGGGTGACTGTCAAAAGTAAACTGAAAAGGCAACACTGACTGTTCCTTTCCAGGCCCTGCGATATTAAACTCTATGGAGAAAGACCTCCGTTGAAATGACTACAGATTTTAAGATCTTGGAGAGAAAAAATTAAAATCCATTTACCTGGAGACATGTGGCCTTTCGGCTCCCACGTGAAAGGGTAATACTGAAAGGGCTGTTTGCTGCTCCAGGGAGTATTTCCATAGCCCAGGGGAAGGAGTGCTAGCATCAGTAGAGTTTAGACACAGTTGGAACAGGGCCTGAATTAATTTCTAGAATAATTACCACCAAACTACGGTATTTGCTGTTCTTACTGTGAAGAAATTGTGTTTCCTTTCTCAGCATAACAAGATACATGGCAAATTAGTATCTCCTAAGAGGAAAGATGAATTTCCAGAATCTTAGCCCAAGAGCGCTGAATCCTTCCACCACCAGCTGAGAGGAAGGTGGTGGTGGAAGGGTTCAGCCCTCTTGGGCTAAGAGCGCTGAACCCCAAGCCCCCAAATGCAGGCATCCCCTTCACAGCGACCTGCAATGATTCTGTAAACCGCAGTCAGCGCACAGGAAAAGTTAAATCGGAACTGGACAATGGCATTAAATGTAATGAGAAACGGGGCAAAATAGCAGCCTCTTCATTGTATTTCGCAGGTTCTCTCTTCTTTCTGATGCTTCGGGAAAGCAGTATCTAAACAAACGATCCACACTGAGCGGGGGCGAAACCCAGAGACTCTCACAACTGCAGCTGTCACCAAATGTCGAAGGGGCCTCGGGAGATAAGATGAAAGGAAGGCCAGGAGCGAAGAACCTTTGTCTACTCACGCTCCAGCTCTGGAACTTCTTATCCCGTACTTTGTAATGAATCTATCTCCTTTCCATGATCAAAAGCCAAGCCTTTGTCTTGAGCCCCAGATGGATCAGAAGTGGCACACGTACGTGTGCATGCACATCTGGCACCCAGGTGCTGGTCTTCTGTGTGCCAGGAGGCTCCGGAGACGCTGGAGCTCCGAGCACAGTCCCCCCAGGACCCCGCCGTGGGTGTGCTGTTCCATTACTGCTTGGACGAGCTTTCTGTCACCTCCTTCCTCTCCACAGTGCAAAAGGGGCTGGGGCTGGGGCCCCAGGTGACACCCTGCAAAGTGGTTTAGATAAGCTGGGTAAAGGCACTTCTCTACCCTGCTTCTCTGGGCCTGCTGAACACCCCTTAGAGCTGCCCGGTTCACTGGGTTTGGACTCAATGCCAATCGCTGTGCTCAGCGGCAGGGCCAGGCCTAGGCCGCAGGCTTCTATTTCCCACCTCGGTGTCCTGTGGCCACAGGCATGAATGTTCCGAGGCGGAGAACCCGGAGGCTGACCCCCCTGGCGGGGTTTGCTGACCAGGAGGGAAGAGATGCTGCAGCGCCCAGTCGCGGAGCTGGGACAGGGGTCCCCCTGAGTCAAGAAGAGCAGCCGCAGCCCTGACGGAGTGGCTCACACCAAGCAGCACTGACCGAGTTCATTCTTCCTTCTGAAGCAGCTGATTACAGGTTGTGTCCAGTCTTGGAGTCAGGCCTTCCCCCCAAGAGGACAACAGGACCAACCCTTTGAATTTCCCCAAGCGTGTTCTCTGGTCCCCATTTAGAGGACAGCTCTCTTTCATTGCAGGGACGCTGATGCCATTGATATATTTCCTGATCTATATAGGATAAAGTGATCCGACGGTCCCCACCCGTCATTCACGGGAGGCTGTCAGGGGTTCTGGGAGACAGCCTGAGCTCTGCTTTCACTAAGGGGCTCAGGAAGTCACTGCTTCAGCTCCAACTGTACCCCT